ATGTGCTTGGAACCATGAATATTTGTTTTTCCTGTCAATATTAATAACTTGCTAGGCTTGATCCATGTTTTTCTGCGTTTAGGGTTGTTGCAACATATCCATTTTTTATCACCAACTCAATGCAGAAAATCTTTTCTTTTTTGTTTTGTAAGCAGCTGTTTGCAGGAAAAAACTGTCTTTCAATGTCCCTCAGTCTCAACTCATACACTACACTATTTCCTTGCTTTTGAATTGTTCCCAGTTGATCAACTCCCATGAGCTTCCATGAGCTCTTTCTGTAACTGGCATGGATCTTCATCATGTTGTGAATCTCGTGAATGTTGTAAGGTTTTTTTTATGTAATATAATATGTAATATGCATATCCTAGAGAATCGCTGTGCATTGTTTCAGGTTTATAAAGAAAAAATTCCTGAAAATAATTTAATTTGAATGGAATACAATGGGTTTACCTTTAGTTATTATACCAAAAAGTATATATTTGATCTGATTAGGTTATAATTTTTTTAAAGCTAAGTATTAAATTATGCACTATTATTCGTAGCACTATTATTGCTATTATTCGTAGCACTATTAAACTCGATTTTAGATGCAAAACTGTGCGTGTACAGGAAACTTTTTGGGTAAGCCCAAAAAAAGGTATGCCTACCTCCCCTTTTATATTTTTTAATTTTGACCGTATTGAGTGTATTTTATAAAAATATTTCAATTATTTACACAAATGTAAATTCTTCAGTAGTTTTAAAATATAATATGTTATTGTTAAAATGCTGATCAAAATACTAACAAAAGATACAAGATGGCTGCAAAATCAATATAATACTTACTGAGACAAAATATTTGTTTTTATTTATTGGTTGAAACCTGTTTATTTACGTATATCAATTTTATTTATAGTTTGTTTCAAATGGCTTCATTTTGCAAAAATATTGAACATTTGGTCACTTTAGGGTTCATTCGCGAAATTCTCGTATGCCAATATTTTCACAAAATTAAAACTTTGTTGAGCCACCTCTAAATATTGATCAATCCTGCTCATATTTGGCCTAAATAATTTCAATTAGGATCTTCATCAAGCCTTTAATTCAGTATCTTTAAACTTTTTCTCAGCACCATGATGTTTTTTATCTTCGAGTTCAAATTCATCTCACTTGCATTGTTAAAACCATCTACTGCATGCTTGTTCTAAAAGAGCATTATTGCTGTATGTTTCCAATAATACTCTATGTGCCTCAGCTGCTGTTGTCTTTCTTTGGAAGTAAAGTAAAAGAATTCCCTGCAAAAACGGTTTGGTAGGCACGAACTTAGCCATGTTTAAAATTTTGGATGAAAAAGTCTTTACACTCCGGCAGTTGATATTGGACTGATGTTTACAGCCTAGAGTTTTAGCCTTCAGGTAAAACTTATTTCAAATTGATGAATTTCAATGAGTACTCCTAGTATATATATACACACACACACACACACACACGTAAATAAACATCTTTTGTACTTAGCATTGCATAAAACAACCCTCGGAATTAGGGTCAATGCTGATCTAACTGCCAACCTTAAAGTGTTAGAGTTTGGTAAAAAATTGCTGACTTCGATTCTATGTCTTATGGTAAGACCTTTGTATCAAATTTTTTTTGCCGACCTGATGCAAACCTCTAAAAGATTGAGGTAAAAGAAAGAAAAAAAGAAAGAGGTAAGTATTTTTAAAGCATCTGTTTGTTTAAAGCATCTGTTTTAAAGCAACTGTGGGTTTGGGTGTCTATCTGGGTGTATATCTGGGTGTCTAGTCAATTTAAGAAAATAATGATTTGCAAAAACCATGCAAATACATAAATATTAAACTAATTTTTTCTTCTTTTAAAATGAATAAATTTTATGTTGATGAATTAAATGACCTCATTTATGTATGATTGATCATGATTAAAGTGTTGTTTTTTTTAATTTAATTTTTTAATGTGGCAAGACCATCCATTATCAAGTGATTGCTGATTTTGATGAAAGACTTCGACTTTTTTATTTACCTAGTAAGAATGTGTAACTAATGGTTACTAGTATAATAAAATCAAACATTTGTTTTACATAAATCATTAAAACTTTTTTACTTGTATTACTGTATACTTTACGGTAAACTGGTACATTTTTAGCACATTGTATACTATTGATACCTAGTTTTTCATATTTTGACTTCTATTTGATTTATAAAAAAACATTTCATGCAAAATTTCAGTCAAAAATGTTGAGCAATTCATGAGATATCGCAATTTTAATATTGAACTGGTTTCCTAAAATTTCTTAGAAAACCTGATTATTATGACATTTAAAAAAAAAATGTTTTCCTCTATAAAATAAGTAATAAATAAATATAAACATAAAATAAATAACAACACAAACACAAATATAAAATAAATAACAATGGCGAAAATGTAAAAACAAAAATTTATAATACTTTTTTGATGTGGAATTTAAAAAAATACTTCCGCTCTAATATCAAGAGAATAATAAAAATTAAGAAATCGACTAATTTATATAACCCAATTTATTGGTCTAATACCTTAAACAAATTCCTATCATAGGAATTTAATTTAATAGGAATAGAAATAAGTGGTGGATTGACATTGTAACTGAAATCAGCCTGAAAGAAGGTAATGCTGAAGTTAGGTTCTTCCACTTGCATATTTTACCTGGCCATGTGCTGAATTTTACATTTAAATTTTTTTACATAGTATGTAAAAAAATTTAAATGTAATATTCAGCACATTGAGGCCAGGTAAAATATGCAAATGGAAGAACCTAACTTCAGCATTACCTTCTTTCAGGCTGATTTCAGTTACAATGTCAATCCACCACTTATCATCATAGATTACTGCTACATAACCACTTAATGTCACTGCCCAAATTGAATTATATGTTTTTTCATTTTAAATTAGTGTTTGTACTACACCTCTATGCCCCACACCTGTTATCCTGAAGATCTATACACTGATAAAGCTGTGAGTATCAGGTAGAGTTATTATATAACACCTGATCCTTAAATGAACACTTTAAATGAAGTTTTCTCAATACAAAACTCATATATAGTTTTTGATGTGAGATTTTAGTATGGGTATTTCAAACCTTCTTGTGCTGCCAATTTTTTGACATTACTGTCAATTCTGTCGCATAGTGATTTTCCAAGGGACATCGAAAAAAATATTTATTTAGCTTTAAAGCTTAATTCATTATCTAGATGGCATAGATGGTAAAAGCTTTTACAACTTTTGTAAGGTCCTGCGCAAATATATTTTGGACAGATTAAGAAATTTTTATTTTAATGTAAGAATGATAAATTGAAAAAAATAGTACACAAAGGTTACATTGTGCATAATATCATCTGATTAAAAGCAGTTAGAAATATGTTTTAATTGAAATTAAAATTAAAATCACATTTCTAGTTTTTATAATATATCAATAAAGAACATTGTTGAGTGTTTCAATGATAGCTCTGTGTATTTCTCAGAAGGCAATGTTGTTCTTCATCTTAACTTTTATTAAACTATATAAATACCAAAACAAATTAATATTACACTTAGTCTGTTTTTATATGAAAATTGTAATGTAAAAACAAACAGGATGTACCGGGTTTTGCATTCATATAAAACAAATATGACATCCATTTAAAACAACTATGATGTTCATTTAAAACATGCATGATGATCAGTTAAAACAATCACCTTTTCATTATATATTTCATTTTTTTGTCTCATTCAGTAAAAGCGCATATAGCTCCTTTGGATAAGGCGCTCTCTTCATACCTGGCAAGATCGCAATTTAAATCCCTCTCTTGGTCGATTTTTCTTCTTCTTTCTCAAAATAAAATTTCTTATACCATTTAAGTCTCTCAGTGTATTTTCTAAGTAAGGTGTAGACAAATATACCAGGTTTTCCATTCATTTAAAAGAAATATGACATCCATTTGAAATTAAAATAAATTCCATTAAATTAAAATAAATTAATATAATAATAATAAAAATAAATTTATATAATATTAAATAAAATAAACCTTTTTTTAATTTTTAAAACAAATATTTTTTTAAAGCAATTTAAAAAAATGTTTTTGTACCTCTTTAATTAGAATTTCAATTTTAATTTTAAATTTAGCGAGCGCTTAAAAAAGCGCCAGCCGTAGTATTGGCAGGTGTGTGGGCAAGCACAAAACTGCAGGAGCGAAAGGGGTTGTCAAACGAAGAAGACTGGGTATTAAGCCCCACCTAACAGACTTTTGGTCATCTAGGCCTTAAAAATTATGTTTAAAAAAATATTTTTGATTGCTGCATAAGATTAATCATTCCTTGATGTAAAAATGATATCTGCATATTGAGAAATTAATTATAACAAAAGTTATTCATGTTTTTTTAACTTGCCTTAAGTGGGCCTTATTACCCTTAGATTGGGTAATAAGGCTCACTTAAGCCATGTTAAAAAAAACATTTTTTTATTAAAGAATAATAACAATTTTTGTTATTATTATTTAACAGCGATTTTATTTATTTACACTAAACTAAAAATTGTCGTTTATTGTTTGTTTTAATTACTTTTCTTAACGATTTCTCTGATTTATGCTAAACTAAAGTTTAGCATATTTCTTTTATCATTACCGCTGACCTCGTACTTGGGCTATATTACCTGATTGATAGTGCGCCTTATTACCCACTTTGGACCTGTCACATTTATCGATAAAGTATCCTTTTGTTACGTAAATTTTATATTTTCCCACAGTTTGGACTAGTGGGCTTTATTACCCACTGGGCCTTAATACCCACACCCACCTTATTTATTAAAAAAAATTTTACACAGATATTTTGAGATTTTGGAAGCTAAAGTTGGTTTATATAAACTAGCTTTTATTTATTGCTTTTAATTTTCTTAATTTGTAAAAAATTGTATAAATTAATAATTCTTTAACTTTATATTTCTTAAAAAAAATTATATCAAAAAATTTATTGAGACTATTTTTTAAAAATGTCCTTACTCGACAATAAACATGTTTTCAACAAACTTCTCCATGAATGATTTGCAAAGATCTTCAAAAAGCAATGACTCGGCATTATAATCTATGTCAAAATCTAAAATAGATCATAAATACTAGAAAATATTGATTGCCTAATTTGCTTTGCTAAAATTAAAATTTGTTTTTGAAGTCTCTTGCAAAATTAGAATCTTTTGTTTGCCAATTAAAAAAATATTTAAACCAATATATGCATGTGAAAACAAAGAATGGATACAACGAAATGAGTATATGTTAAATAAAGTAGATAAAAATAAACAATATTGCTTAAAATGATCAAGATGACACATAAGTACAAATGTGTTTCGGCATTAGGAAGCAATACACTCTAATCCCAATTTTTAAAAAAAGCAAAATAAATATAAGCATTATTTCATTAATTAGTTTGGATATTAACTTATAATAAAAAACAAAAACAGAAAAATTAAGAAACAAAAAAATAAATAAAAAAAAGTAATAAACTAAGTAGCACAATTTAGTAACAATTTTCAAATAAATAACACTTTTTTTAAAACTTTTGACATGTTTCCTCAATATCAATTGACACCATCAGGTATAAAAAATTAGTTACAATTTCTGTATATAAACAATTTTTTTGGGTATATATATATATATATATATATATATATATATATATATATATATATATATATATATATATATATATATATATATATATATATATATATATATATATATATATATATATATATATATATATATATATTATATAGATATTTTAGGTGCTCTATAAGTCCTTCTGGTCTTATCACAGAGCACCGCGGAAGAGCATTTAACAGGAACGCTTCCTTCCGCTACCAATGTCGCTTGTTGGGCTAGAGCTCGAGTCGAACCTCGGATCTCTGGGTTCTGAGCCAGAACTCTAACCACTGCGCCACGGCTGCTCTATATTAAAAATTTAATTGTTTTTACAATAGTATAATAGATGCGGTAGTGTTGTAGTGGTAGAGCGCTTGCTTTATAAGTGATAGGTTCCGAATTCGATCCCCACCACATCCTCGGTAGTACAGCGCTTAACTTGTTTCTCTGCGCAGTGGCCTTGTTTGTCAAACTTTGTGTTTCGGAGTTATAGAGTTGAGAGAGGGTTATAATCACAAATAAGTAGCTTTCTTATCTGTAGTGGCCTTCTCGGCCTTGAGGAGGTAACTAACACAACAACAACAAAAATAGTTACAATAGTTACATAAAATAAATAATTATTATGTAATTTTACTAAAGGTTATACAAAAGGTGTGAAATAATTAAAAATATACAAAATAGAAAATAAAAAGTAAGATAATACTGTTTTTTGCAACTTTTTATCAATTCAAAAGTTGTACATGTTAATTTGATGTCAAAAGACGTCAAATAAATTGGAATGGCATTTTTATTTTTTTTTAATTTAAAAAGTTTTTTTTTTTTTTATTAGAACAACTATCAATCTTTATTAAATTATTATTTTTTATTTTTATTATTTATTTTTAAGATGTTTCGAGGGAATATTGATACCCTCGTTATCAAGTATATTAAAAACCATAATAAAAAAAACCCGCTATATTATACAATACTGTTTAAATTTGTGAAACAATGTTCTTTGTAAGAGTTTCTTTTTAAGAGTTGTTTAGGAGAATTTTTTATGACATAAGAATTTGAACATAGGTTTCTGAAATGATGTCATCACATAATCGCTATCATCCCAGTTAAGACCTTTGTCGTGAAAGGTACTTTTGTTGTGTTGTATTTCCAACGCTTCTCTAACTTTCCTATTAAAACTATTTATTTCTATTTTTAAGGTATTGTGACCATTCCAGTGGAAATTTCTTCGGCAAATTTTGGAATGTTCAGCTACAGCTGAATTTTCCCCTTCACCTTGTTGTGCACTTGTTTAATGCTGGTATATCCGAGACTATATCTTCAGCCCAGTTTCAACAACATAACATTTGCCACAAGAGCACTCTAGTTTGTAAACACCAGGATAGGAATTAACTGGTAGTGTAGATTTATTTTTGGAACTGAGTAGACTTTGGAGATTTTTTGGTGACTCGCCTATAAAAAAAATCCTAAAAATCAATTATTTTTTGATGATTTTTGTACAAAATTTATTCAGTTTTCTTATTGCAAAAAATTTTTCCATAAATCTAGTTTTTTTGTTATTAAACAAAATCTTATACCATGTACTTTAAAAGTGCATAGCAACGCACATAACAATGCACTGATTGATAAAAAAAATGCTCATAACATCCTATATTTAACTCAGTTATAAAATTTTTTCTCTAATTAACCTGTATAAGAATGTAATATATACTTTGCTTTATATATTATGGAAATTATGAACACTTTTAGTCATGTTTTGAAATAACATAAGCTAATTTCATACTTTTAAACTTAAAGCTTTCAGTTGTGTTCCTCGAGTTATTTGAACTTTTTTTTAAACTTTGCATATTTGTTTGCATTAATATATTATAGAGATTGTTAAAAATCTAACAAATAGAATTTTTCACGTTTAATGAAAAAAAAGTTTTATGGTAATCAATTTATTAAATCAGAAAAACTTAATGTTTTGCTTGTTTAATTGACTGGAGTATCTTCAAGTGGAAGAAAATTAGTCTGAAAAGCTTACAAATGTTATAGCAAAAGTAATAATAAAAATGAAAATTATGTTTTGTAAACTTTTTCATTTTAAAAAATCTTGTATCACTTTTAAAATGCCCTAAGTGTAGCAGTGCTGTGGTCTTAACAGATACCCTAAAATCTTGAAGGGGTTTTTGTCATTTGTTTAAAGTTAATTGTAATTGAATGAGCCGTCATATACATCACTAGAATGTTTGAAAAAAGTTGCATCTAAAGGACAAAGTGATTTAAAAGAAAATCTATGTGCTATTGTTGCTTTTTGTGAGATAGGATAAGGTTTTAGTGGAATAGAGAAGTTTGCCAAATGTATGAATATCTAAAGTATAATAAATAATTCATTAAATTGTTTACAAAAGAACGTTGCAAAAGAATATAAAAATGTAGCTATTGTATCTATAAAAAATGCAATTTGTAAAAATTTAGACTTTGAAAAGGAACCAATAAAAATATGCATCAAGATTGATGATGCTTGGCAAAAAAAAGGTTATGTTTCTTTAAAGGGTGTTGTGTCTGGTATTATTGAAGTCAAGTGTGTTGATGTAGAATTACTTTCAAAGTTTTGTCGTGGATGTAAAATGTGAGAGAATCATAATGGTTCTTCAAAATATGTAATAATAGGTAATGGTGTCTGAGAGGTTTTATCATCATTTAGATGTAACAGTTTTGTAACAGCATTTAAATTCAAAAACAAGATATACTTCGAATAGCATGCATGGAACACAAGTCTCTTCCACCTGTTAAAGAACGAAAGAAAATTCTACAAACAATAAAAAAAGGTATTTTTATTGTGAAAGCTCAAAGGAACAACTGGGATACAAAGCTGGGAGTTTTTATATGTTAATTTATGTCTTGATTTTCTCGATTAATAGTTTTTGTTATTTTTCAAAAATTCAAAACCTCATAAATTTAGTTAAACACAGACTTTTGACTTGAAATTTTCACAATTTGTTCATTATAGTTAGGAAATTCATTTGTGCCTTGGATTTATAATAATGATGATAAAAAAAATAGTTTTATCAATTATATTATGCAATTATGTTGGTAATTTTGGTAACAGCTGTCATGAATTTTTTTAGTAATCATGTCATGAAATTTTCATTTTTTAACACAAAATCGCATCAAAAATTTTGGAAAATTAGGGCAAATTTATTTCCAACTTTGCTTTTCATATTTTTATCATCTTTTTTATTATTGAAAAAAAAATTGTATAGTTAGAGAGCTTTTTTATTTCAATTTTTTATATGACATTTTATATAGGTGAACAACCTTAAACACTAATGCGTATCCTGCTTTTTTAAAAACTCTTCGTAACTAAGGACTAACTCCAAAGATTCAGGGTAAAGACACAAATCTTTTTGAAGACATTAGGAAACGTTGATTTTTTGTGAGATCTTTTTTGTTGTTAAGACTTTCTTTTGTAGAATTAATTAGTTTTTCTAGACTTTTCCTCTCATAGCCGTTTTCTACAAATACGATAATCGATAAGAAATGACAACTCATCATCAATGTTATTTATTGTGCATACACAAGGCACTCTATGGAAAAAATCAATAAAGACACCATTAGTAATTTTAGGGTCATGGCATGAGTTTGGTTTAATTTGAACGTATGTGATTGCACTTTTGCAATGTATTTTAAAACTGTCTAAAAATGTACCGGTTTTAATGTTGGTAACTAAAACATCGAGATTTTAATTTATCGGTTAAGTCAGCAGATTCCATTGTGTATTGAATATTTTTGTATTGTTTGTTAAGTAGATCTAAAAACTTTTGCACATCTTCTTCTAGCTGAAACCTTGAATGTATATCATCAACATATTTTTTTAATGATTTCGCATGGATGTTATTGTTAAGCGCCAATGAAAGAGCATTACTTCCAAAATATTATAAAAAACACTCAGCAACTACCACAATAAGAGCTTACCCAATTGGTCCGGAGATTTCAAGCTCATGAATATCATTTTTATATTAAAAATATCAATGAAAAAGATAAAGTTCTAAAAGTAATTTGATCTCTTCAAAAGTTAATTTAGATATATAGCTCTGCTTGTTTCTTAATCTTTCAACTAGTATAATGATTGCTTCTTTAATCAGGACCGAAGAGTACAAGTTAATAATATTAAAGGAGACCTGAACCTCATTCTAATTTCCCATAATCTTTCTGTATCCACAAATTGTTGAGAATGTCCACAGACAGACACTTCATTTATACACACACACACACACACACTATATATATATATATATATATATATATATATATATATATATATATATATATATATATATATATATATATATTATATTGTTAAAAAGTTTTAACTAAGCTTAAGTACATATATTTCTAGCTTAGAAAGATTAGTACTAAATTTATCTAGCAAGACAAAGCAAAAAAAAAAGCTAAATGAAAAAATAAAAATGTAAATATTTCTTTCCTTGTTCAATATTCCTTTCCTATATTTTACTAGGATTTTATTTTCTTCTGATTTTAAACAATTGTATATACTACTTTACTAGTATATACTACTTTAGTTGTTTTCATCAATCTTTTTTAGTTTTGAGGACCTTTTATGCTGCAGGAAACATTAAAAAAAAATTTAATAAACTATATATATCATAACATTTATACTTAAGTAACATTAAACTGTATTTTAAAAAATACTATTAATACTTTGTATAAATAAAGAATGACTGATGACAATTATGTAAACAAATATTTTTTTTGATTACCAGGATTAAGCAAGGTGTCAACAATATTTTTGTAGTTTGATTTTTTTTCATTACCATCCATAGATAATGCTTGCACAAATGGTATCATTATTCATTTAACTCTACAAGAATAGATACTTTTATTTAACAATATCTTAAATATTTCTATAATATCATTGTTACATTAATACATCCTTACATGGATTGGTTTTTTTTTTTTTAATAAAAAATTATGTTTTAGTAAGTAACTATAGAGAATTTACTTCAAGAAGTTAAAAGTTTAAACTTTTAAAATAAAAGTTTTATTTCAAACAATAAACTTTTATATATTATTTAAATAAAAAGTTTAATTTTAAACAATAAACTTTTAAATTTTCATAATTTCTTATTAGCAGTTAAAAAAAAGCAAGCCGAAAAAAAAAGTTCTTTTAATTAAAAAAAACAAGTTTATGGATCCATGTATATATGTATTAATATTATCAAACTTTAAAACATTGAGATGTGAAAAGTTATGTATAGTGCTCTAAATAAAAAAACCTTGAATCTTTGCTTAATTAAACAATGTTCACTATTATTTGATTAATATTATAATTAACACTAATTAATACTAATAATTAATATTACTATTAATAATAATTAATTTTACTATTTAATCTCAGGAAAAAGGGTACAAATAAAAAGATAAATAAAGAAATGTTAAATAATATTTAGTTAAAGACATGTATTAGAGTATAATATAAAGCATTACTACTGATTCTAAACTTTAAACTATTCACAAATTAAAAGCGTTTTTTCTAAAAGGAGCCAAGTCACATTTAATATGTTTTAAGGAAGAAAAAAAAACTTATTATTAGGCAAAGTATTTTTTGAATTTCATAATTTTGTAATCATAAAAAAAATGATAAACAATTTTTTTTATTTATACTTACATAGTAAATATTAAAAAACTTCATTACATAGTAAATATTGAAAAAACTTCATTTTTTGGAAAAAATGCTGCTTTTAGAAAAATGTTCTTCAAATACATTTAGCATTTTTAGATTTTTAAAAAGGTTAATATTATAAAGCAAGTATAAGTATAAATAATCAGTAATACAAGAACACATATGTTAATTACGTGAAAAAGTTGAATATCAAAACATAATTTATACTTTCCAAATTCAGTTTTAATTACATTCTTATATTACTTTATCTATATAGTGCCATCAAATCTTTCTTTTAAGACAACAAATCCTTTTTTTATTTATTTTTATTTCTGATCATTAATTAGGATTTGATTCTTATAGTGATGCTGTTTTTCATATCAATGGAAGTTATTGTACTATCAACGAAATTGTTACACATATAATAGCTTTTTTTCTTAATTTGTATTTGATTTTTCTGCCAAAAAGTGATACCATATATTAAAAATTAATGATTAAAACCATATTTCTTATAGTAAGAATCTATTTTAATATTCTTAAATATCCTATTAGACTTTATTATTTTGTCATAATATTGAATAATACATTTAAAATAGTACATCGTACTTTTATATTGGACTTGATATTTATTTTAAAATTTAATAATAAACAGATAAAAGCCTCCACTAAACTTATAGAATACTTTATATTATAGGAAAATGTTAAAGTTATATACAATTTCACTTTAATGTTTACAAATTTTATTAGAATTCTCAGAATTTTTTTTTATTTGAATGAATTCTAATAAAAACACATGTGACATGTAAAAAAGTGTAAACAGCAAAAATTTATTAAATTTTTGTCCCATTTTGCAAAAAAAATAGATTTTTGTTTCTCATGTTTCTAAACTCATCAACAAGTTTTATGTTTTATGTTTAAAAAAAGAAAATCACGGCACCGCTAACGTATTTTTGTGCCAGAATTAAGATAAACATTTTGAATAGGAAATGCGTAAATATTTTTGTTGTTATTTTTGTTGATGTTTTTACTTGTTTTTTCCGTTGCGCTGTTCAGTTGCCTTTCCAAAGAAGAGCGCCCAGTAAAAGAAGGAAGGCACACAATTTTTTTTACGTAATCTTTGTATGAATATCATTCTTATACTGTCTTAACCAGTGTAACTTTGAAATGACGTTATAAATTGGTAATTAAATTTTGGAATGGCGTCATATAATCAATATGTGACGTCATTTCTAAATTAAATTTAATTTTGAATCGACGTCATGTATTCAATATATGACGTCATTTCTATATTAAATTATTGTCACACCAATATAGACGTTAATAAATTATTGGCACCCCAATATAAACTGAATTATTGGATCACCTATTATATTGGTTGCCAATAGTCCGATTTAAAACACCAAACGCAATTTTATTGAATCACTTTTGAACGGTACGTTTAAAAAGTGATTTAATAAATTTGTTAATATAAAATTCAATTAAAGTTTAAAAGTGAAAGGACGTTAAAACTATTTTTTCGAAATTCTTTTTTTTTAATACGCACCGTGGTTTTTTATTTTTGCTATTAAAACTTTAGAATACATTTTCTTTTTAGTAATTTTTTTTTTTTTAATAATGTAAGTTAACATTTTATTATTTAATGAATATCTACTTCAAAAATATACAAAGTAACATGCAAAGGGCCGGCGCGAGTAGGTGTGACGTTTGGGGGGGAGGGGGTGCAATTACAATTTTTGCCCAAAAAAAAAAAAAGATCTCGTTTTTTTAAAATTTGCCGACTGCCTTAACGACATTTGCCGACTGAATGTCAACTAACTTGTCGAAAGGGTCTACATTTGCCGACCAACTTGTTGTTATGGAAGATATGAATTTTCGTGAATTGAGCTTTAAGGCTTTTCAGACAAATAAAAATATACTTTTAGAGTATCATCTAGATCCAGATGTTAATTTTTTTTAACACTGATGAAATAATTAGCAACATATGCCCTTCTTATTATAATACAGATGTTTCTAATCTTTCTGCTGATATAGATATTAATGAGTTCTTTACCCGGTAGGAAATGAGCTAGCGACTAGCGAGCGACTTGCTAGCTTTATAGCGATTTTCAAGCGATTTTTTTTTCTTATTTTATTTTTTACTAATGTCTCTAATATCTTTGAAAATTCGATTTTTAGTGTTGAGTCTATTATAATTATGAGAATAATTAAACTTTAAACATTGCGATTTTGTAGCAATGTGTCGCTAGCTACAGATCGTAGCTTTGTAGCTAGCTACAAAATATCTACAAATCTATAGCTGGTTGATAGCTACATACCAAAAACTTTTTGATAGCGATTTTATTACGATATGACGGTAGCTACAATAGCCTGTGAGTCTTTCGCTTATTAAGCTAGCTGTCCTCGTAGCCAAATTGCTGTTTTTATCTTTACAAATATCGATAGCTTTTCGCTAACTTAAAAAAACTAGCGATCCTCGTGGCCAAATTGCTGTCTTTATTGTAACGATTATAGCTAGCTATTCTCTAGCCGATTTCCCACCGAGTATATTACACTCAAATATTAGGAGCTTTCAAAAATTTTTTGATAAATTTAAAGATTTTTATATAGTGTTGAAATTAATTTTAAAATTATTTGTCTGACAGAGACCTGGTTTCGAGATAAACAAGATGAAAAAGATTCAAATTTTCAACTACAAAACTATAAAGTTATTCATCAAGTCAGAAATTCTGAGACAATAGGTGGAGGAGTATGTATTTTTATTCACAATTCTTTAAATTTTAAACCGCTAACCGAATTTAGTGTAATTAGTAATGATTGTGAACTATTAACGATTGAAGTTATAAATAAAATCACTAAAAACATCATTGTACATGTTGTGTACAGACCGCCATCCGGCAATAACAAATTTTTTGAAAAACACTTTAAAAATTTAATTAAAAATGAAATTTTATGTGGCAAATGTGTCTTTTTTGTGGGGGATTTTAATTATAATGTGCTCGATTACGACACAAATAAATATGTAAACAATTTTATGAACATCATATTTCAAAATGGTTTCATTCCAACAATAAATAAACCAACACGAATTACTAGGAATAGCGCAACTTCAATTGATCAAATAATAATTAATGAATATACAAAAAACAAAATAAAAACTGGAATGATAATATCTGATATATCGGATCATTTCCCAATATTTACAATTGCACATAAGGTTGTCGAACACACCCCTCAAAAAAAAAAAAAAATTATTACAAATCGAATATATAATGACATTTCTATGGAATTTTTTAATAATTCTCTATTTTCTGAAAACTGGGACGAAATTTTGCAAATTCAAAACACAGTTACTGCTTATAACTGCTGGTAACAAAAATTATTAAATCTAAAACATTTATAAACCCTTTGGTTACACCAGGAATAATAAAATCATCAAAAAAAAAAACGATTGTATGAAGTGTTTTTGAAAGAAGAACTTATGAAAATAAATTATGGTATAAAAAATATAAAGGTCATTACAAAACTTTCAAAGAAGTTATACTTTTCAAATAAAATAATAAAATTTAAAGGCGATACTCAATAAACGTGGCAAGTTATTAAAGAAGTAATTGGAAAAAAAAAAACACTTAGGCTAAACAGTCTTCCAAAAAAACTAAATTACCATCATCAAGATATTACAAATAAATCTATAATTGCAAAAACATTTAATGAGGTGTTTGTCAATACAGGTTTAAATTTAGCATCAAAATTAAAACACAATGAGTTTAACGAGGAGAAATACTTGACTCCTAGCAAATCAATTATGGAAAATGCTAAGTTAACAGAAAAAGAATTATTAGATGCTGTGCATTCATTAAAATTAAACAAAGCACAAGGACTTGATACTGTTAGTAGTAATGTTGTAACTAAATGTATTTTCTATATTAAAAAAGTTTTTTTGCATATATTTAATCTTTCGTTTAAACAAGGAATCTTTCCAAAAAAAACTTAAAATCACAAAGGTAATACCAGTTTTTAAATCTGGAGATGATACTAATATCTCGAACTATAGACCTATTTCCATACTTCCTTGCTTCTCGCAAAATACTGGAACGCATTATGTATAACAAATTATACTCATTTTTAGAAAAAAATAATATTCTTTATCACAAATCAAATTAAATCTTCTATTATGGATGTAACTCTTTATTTGAAATTAA